AGAATGAGTGTTCCATGTATATATCTGTTTTCATAACGCACTTTAATATACTTTTCTCTCTCACACGCATCTTGAACATATTTTTGAATTACGATGATTACTCCATATATATATGCTCTAGCATTCAATACTATAATCGTTCATTGAGAATTCAGTGAGTTCTTACATCTGATGACATAGTTGTTAAATCTATAGACCGAAGATCGTTAAAAATATAGACCAAACAGATATACAATGAATGATTGTAGTACTGAATGCATTCAATAATTGAGCTTTCTGTAAATTAGTTCTCTAATAGTCTAATGTTTCAGATTCTATAGAAAAAAATATTGTTTAGAGACATAAAACAAATTTTAATTTAAGAAAAAGTTAATTAAAGTTTAAAAGTAATTATATATATATATATATATATAGTTAAAAATTAATTTAATTGATATTAACTATAATAAATCAAGTTAAAAATGTGTTAACTTTTAACTTCTATATAATTTTTAATTTATTAACTAGTTACCCAACCTTGGAAAAAGAACCGAAGCAGCTTACCCGCAAAGAATATTCTGAGAATGATAAAAGTGATGAAGTTGAATACTTGCCTTTTCCAAAACAGCAATCTAAAGAAACTCGGAAGATGGGACAATTAATACAGTCGCAACCTGTAACAGAAAAAGAAAAACAGGCTAATATGCAAAAATCAAAATCGAAACGGATTGAAAATTTAAAAGTTATTTATACAGATCCGGTAGAGTTATTAAGTAAAAATAAAAACAATAACGATCTTGAAATTAATAAAACTCTTGAGCCCATAGATAAGTTAGTTAATCAAAATAATAGCAGAAATGAAGTTACGCATCAATTTAATTCAGATACAATTAAATTAAATACAGTTACCATCAATTCTACCATAGAAAGCGAGGCATGCGAAATTAGACATAACGTACCGCAAACCATAAAATACCCTAATCTAACTAATTTTCCTTCGCGGATACATAAAAGGTTACAAAATAATGTTAGTAGACTGAATCTTAAGCGAAAAGCAACATTAAGTAGGTATAACCAATCAGCGAGAAAGACGTTCCGACGCTCTTATGTCACAAAACCACGACGGCATCAACTCAAATCCATTCCAACTACAGAAAGAAAACGTAAAATTATGGTGAGGAATATACGACGGACGATTAAACCTTCGTCAGAAACAAGCTTAAGCGACCAGCTGGAAAAAGACGAGAAGAGATTAATGCAAAAAATTAAGAATGAATTAAGAAATAAACAGGAAATTTTACAGCGAAGACAACATATAAAAGAAATGTGCGAAATCGCACAACAACTGGATAAAGAAAACGTTGGATATAAATCCAATAAACAGACACAACAACGACAATTACAGATTACCAGGTTAATTAATCAATACAATCAGTTACAAAATAAAGGTACTGAATATGAGGACAATTTTGTTATCAAGGATCAAGCAGGACATGACGCATACCAATTCGATGTGAAACTTACGATTAAAGATTTGAAACCAGCAGGCTGTTGTGGATCACAAATATATCGTACGGCATACTTATTGGAGGATCATTTATTAACAAGATCTATTGTTTTGTTAGATCAAAATGACAGCACTCATCAAGAGAAACCAATGATTGTAGTTAAACCATCCAAAATGACAGATGAGAATAAAGAATCGTCCGGAAAGAAAAGGAAATTATCTCGTTCCAAGTCCAATTCTAAGGAGGAAGTGCAAACACCAAGAGAAAAGAAGAAAACAAAAAGAAATGATACATCGAGTCAAACACCGAGACACGCAGTAGTGCCAGTAGCAAGTCTAGTGCGAAGACAAGATGAAAGGTTTATTAAATCAATAGAAGAACAGACCATAACATCCACAAATAAACAAACAAGCAATAAACCGAAAATTACATCCATTGAAGATGTTAATTTTATTACTCCTATAAATGTAGAACAGATGGTGAGCTGTACACGAATTCCCAATGCCAATTATGCGATAAAATTGCAGCCAATTTTATATTCGACGTCAACTACGTCATTAAAATCAAAAGAACCACTGACTGAAAATCAATTATCGGAGAGCCAGCCAGTAGAATCTGTATTTCTTGATGAAATAGTCCCTGTATCTTCACCAGAAAATTGGCTAGCGGAATCTATAGTGGATGATCCACTGAATCTATAACTTATGAACAATAATCAAGAGGAAGCGACATCTTCTAGAGAAGACATGGATCTGTATATCGAAATTATGGAAAATAAAGATAATTTCAGAAAACATTTAGGGTAAAAAAGCTAAAAAATGAGATTGAAAGACTTTAGAGATATCAAGTGCAATTTGCTGTACATTAGGACTGCGTTCCGTTTCACGCATATGCGCGCATTCCCCTATAGTATACGTGACACTCACTATATAAAATGCGCGCATATACCTGAAATGGAACGCAGCCTAGGTTTAAGATTTCTATTAATTAAGACCGAGTTTTTCTAGTGTTCCTATAATAAGAGTTAGGACAATGTGGTTGCAACTGTTAAGTAGATGCCAAAATCCACTGTATGTATAAATAGCCAACCGCTCACGGGAATAACGGCTATAGCTGCTATACGACCAAAAATCGACCAAAAATGAATTTATTTTTTGATTATAAGAACTACAGTATGATTGCGATAACTATAAGATGTATGTAAGTCCACAATCAAATGTATTGATTGGCGAAAATGATCATTATTTCCGATTCTACTAACTGTAACATTTTTTATGTGTAAGTTTTAAATTACAAAATTCACAGTTCTTGATAATAATTATTTGACGAGAAAATATATAGAAGTTATAATACTAGTTACTTCACATACTCTATTTCTTTTAACTCGTATTTTGTTTCATAAATTTGAAATGCGAAATAAACTTTGTGTAAGTGATAATAAATTTATTTGGTTTGAAAAATCATGATATATTTACTATGTTATAAAATTTAAATAGAGTGATGATTTTGTTGATTTAGTTTAGTAATCAAAATAAAGGTTATTTTATTTAGAGAATGATCTTGTACAATTAATCGATATTTGTGAAAATTTATTTTAATTGTACAATAAAATAAAATTAAGATTTAAGATTATGGATGTTAAGAGTCAGTGTTAAAATAACAAATTATTTACAAGGTGGTAGTCATAGTTTTAAAATATGACATATTTTGTATTAATATTAATAAATTTTATAATTTTTACTAGAAGTTTAGATTCACATGATTTCTATCCATAAAAATCCTCAACTTTACAAAATTTTATTTACGACAATGTTATTCACCATTAGGTTACAATTTAAAAGTTTCCTGTTAATGAAAGATTTAAATTTACAATAATGTTCAATTTTCAAACTTTTAATCATGAAATTTTTAATTGCATCATTAATTTCATTAATTTTACCATACAATCTCATAAATTTTTTTATCATAAATTTCTTATATTTAAAATTTATGCACACACACGTCCACATATTTTCCGCAGGAAAATCCTAAAAATGACAAAACTATTTAGAATAATCCAATTAATGGCCAGATTCTAAAGCTCTTTTTTTTATGAAAACTCACCATCGATCATTACCAAAACCATTTATAAACAGTGGACCACGTTTATACCACAGGAAATATTCATAAATATTCCTATTTCCGAAAAAGTGTTCTCTAAGTGGTATTTTTAACATTTTTTAATCTGCATTCAGCTATAATTGCGCATGTGCAGTAGACAATTTGCACATGCGCAGTCATAGCTAAGTATAAGTATTATTAAGTAAACGTAATAATTTTTGTGCTGCAATATTTTTTTATAGATTAAAAAATTCTTTTTCAAAATTAATGGGTGCCTTCCAATAAGCGATACAGATGACACGATGTAACACAGTGTATCAGTATGTCCTTGTTGTTCGCCAATGTTAAAGAAGAATGAGATGATCACTGTGTTGTCACTTGGAAGCATGCAAAGTATACACATTAATACGTGTATGTGAGGTGGAATTTATATTGTGTTTATACTGAGAACGGAAAACATTTTTGAAATTAAAATCTTTACAATATCTTAGTTCAATATAACGTCACTTTTGTTCTGCTAACTTATAAAACGTATGAACAAACATTATTGAATTCTTAGATCGATTCATTATACAGGGTGCGTTCGAGAAGACGCTATTAGCACTATTTGTCATTCTATGCTTGTTTTACATCTAATAAACAATGAAGGTTGAATGAAATGGAAAAAACGTTAATCTTCTCGAACGCAATAGTCGATTCTTATATTCAATTAAGTCCGTATATACCTGCGATCCATGCCGTTCGGAATGCGTCACTTTGATGACTCCATGGGGACTTTTAGGGCTCCAATTTGGGTTTATAACATCAATAATACATTCTTCAGATGTTAAATGAATTTTATAAACAATTAAAAGTATCAAAGAATTCGATTCTATACATGACCCTCCCCCCTTAAATACAGTCTTTAAGATGTCACGAATTAATCAGAAGGCCGCGTATTCTTATCAAGATATTACTTAAGACTATCTTAAAATAATAACCTAATGTCTTAAGTTATTTATTAAAATATTGGCCTTAGAATTAAATTTAGCTATTGATATAAAAATGCAATAATTACAAAAATTTATGTATATATTAATGTAGTAGTATGTAGTGATTATGAATGATACATAATTCTATTGAGTCAATAAAACAGACAACTATAGGATTATCTATAATAGGTTTATCATAATTGTTATCAAGTACAAAAATAATTGAGACACTACTGATATATGTATTAAAATAAAAATTGTATAATAAAATTTTGCATATTTTTGAACAATTATATTAATAATCTCTATGCTTAATTTAATTACAAGAGTATTTGATATATATTATAATTTATTCTAAACATTCTCTCTTTTTTTAACACATATGAACCTATATAAAATGTTAAGACACATAAACTCTTTGAATAGAAAAAATAGCTTTTGAGTAATAATTTTTGTGACTTTGCCGAGAGAGCGATAATTTCTTCGTATAGTTCTTAAGGACGTATGTGATTTCACCGTACTATAGTCAATGTTTAAAATTTCTTCATTATCTTGCTTCTGATTTTGAAAATGGCTGAAGTGAACCAGGTTGTACCCATGACAAACCTAATGGCTTGTTTTCTTCTTCGTCCTGCAAAGTACGATAAATTGATTAAATTAATGCAATTTATTATAATGAAAACAATACACTCAAATATTTATTTACTTTTGATTCGTAAATTTCTTGTTTAATGGGGTCATGTAATTCTTTCACATATGGATCAAACGTAATATAATGTGGATCATCCATGGTAGGTGGGTTAAATACTTGATTTACGCTTTCCTTTACGCAAGTTTTCACACGTTCTCGAAAAGCTTCAAAATTATTTTCATTCCTGCAATATCACCAATTAATTCACATATGTAAGTATTCTGGATCATATATTATTTTTATGTTTTCTTTAAAGACAAATATACTTGCAAGCTGGACGCTTCCTCGTTTACTGGAGTCATTTTCGAGTCTAGTTTAGTGAATATTTTAGTGATATACTGTAATAATTGCCAAATTCTGTTGTTCCTTCTCCATTCAGGAAATCCCCACAACGTGCACAATTCTCCACTTTCTGGATTTATCAATGGATGGAATATTTGAGTTTCAAACACAACTTTCTAAAACACATTTGTATGAAACAAACTACACGCAACATAGATTATCTGCAAGTCAGTGTTCTTACGGGACAATCTCCAAGTGGGAAGTTTGGTGGCAGTGTAATGGTGAATCTAAAAACTCCACCTTTGTAAATTCCTTGCCGAATGAACTGTACACCAAACCACACTGCGACAAAATGTGAAGATGATGTATTACAACTTTTTACAATCGCTACTTTAACTCCGTTAAAGTAAAACAGGCAAAATATATAATATATTAGATATATTTACATCAGAACCATTATACAAGTCGTAATCGGGAAGAGCAAGACCTATAAAATAGGTTTACACCTATCAAAAACATACTAGCATTTCAATAGAAAGAAACGTAGTATGCAAACAAGAAAACAAAGAAAGGGTATTTGTTTTTTGACATGCATGTTACAGAATGGTACTCATTCCTGTTTTGAAACATTAATGTCACAGATAAAAAGTTATCATAGAAAATTACATGCTAAATTGTAAATATAGTAAATATAACTTATATAATCTTTAGCAATACTTACGCAAAGCATTCAAAGCAGATGGTATCACATAAATCCCCTTCAAATCTTGAGAACATAACATCTTACTAAAAAATATACAAAATTACTTTTTATCAAATCATATCTTTTCATATGTATCTGATAACATTATTGAACCTACTACTCAGACAAAATGTTGTATTCCTGTGAGAAAATAGCATGTTGTTTGTTGATTTGCCACACAATTGGTCTATCAATCATTTTCGCTGACATGCTTAATGGAGAATCTCCATGATTGTTTCCTGGTACAAGTTTCCTGAATGAACCTTGTCTGTTTAGATTATCATCCTTGCTGTCTTCGCTCTATATAAAATAAACAATATTATTAACAATGAATACTGTGAAATTGATAACTAAAATATTACACTATTAAATATATTTATCAAGAATGAAACAAGATAAGTGTATATGACTCTTCATTTTCATTATTTCTAATTGGAAACTTATATATATATATATATATATATATA